AAGTGATTTTATGAAGTTGTGTCAAAGGACTGACAATTGGCCTGTATGTCTGCAATAGTTGTGTGTTTTGACACACGGAGCCATATATTTTCCCTTCACAAATAATGCAAGCGATTTCACTGTACATTGCTCCAGTGTAGACACCCTAAGATATGATTAAACATAAAATATTCATATGTGGAGCATATCAGGGTGTATTGCAACAAAAGCTAGTTTTCATAAAACTATACATCTTATGCTTTCCTTGAAGGCAAAAAAATATGAGTATCAATGAACTTATCTTATTGGAAAGGATTTTGAAAAATGGTGAGTAGCAAATAGCTTTCGTAATATCCCTACAATATTGTCACAGAAAGAAATGTGAAGAAAAAACCTTAAAACATCTGTTCCCTTCATTATCTGCCCTCTAGTGGCTAAGCTGCCAAGCATCTGAATTGCTTCAATAGTGCATTCTTTGTTTTAATTTTATCATATTGTGTTCAGGACAGTCCAATTCATTTCCTGAAGTTTAACTACCATGGATTATTTACTCACTCAGTAGATTTTTGAAGGCTATCTGATTTCAAAAAGACTCTGGGTGGCTTACAATATATAAAATTTAAATCTCACTCTCTCTCTCAATGGGACTTTTCCAAGGCAGAAAATAAATGAAAAACAAAAACTAGAATGCAAGGAATTTCATTAAGAATACAGAATTAAAATTAAAAGTCCAGAAAGTGTATCTGAAAATCAAGCAATTGAAAATCAATGCCTGTCCCCTTCTTTCTCATTTACATACACTATACATCCCAGGCAAAACTGAAGACAAATATAAATGTTTTTGAACTTCCATCTTTAATATTTCTGCTCAGAATGATATTTGTAAAGTGAAGGTAATCTGTTAGGCAAAATGTTTATTAAAGGCCTAGCTGGGGACAGTTCATCCTGGAGAATCTCTTATCTAAGTAGTCATTGAGTGTCAAAAACAACTTGATCGGAATTGAGTGGAGTGGAGTGGAGTGGAGTGGAATGGAATAGAATAGAATAGAATAGAATAGAATAGAATAGAATAGAATAGAGTAGAGTAGAGTAGAGTAGAGTAGAGTAGAGTAGAGTAGAATAGAATAGAATAGAATAGAATAGAATAGAATAGAATAGAATAGAATAGGCCAAGTGTGATTGGACTCACAAGGAATTTATCTCCAGTGCATAAGGTCTCAGTGTACATACAAGCAACAAAGTGATAAATCATAAGATACAATAATAAATCAATAAATTAAATCAATAATAAATCAAATCAATCAATCATTTGATTTGTTGGGGCTTATACTCTGTTCCCATTACTCGAATTCTGTGGCTAGACAACCAGTGGCATATTTTTATGGCTGGTTGGAATAAATTTAAAAGGAATTCTGTTTAATGTTTAAGGTGGCTTATATTTTTTATGTTGCTCATCCCAATATAATAGCTTCTAAGGATTATGCTGTTTCATTGATATAAAGAGCATTATTTACACGTTTACCTGCTAGAGCAGATATAAAGTGATATCGCCCAAATTTTTAATTTGAATTGTGATTAAATGCAAACACTGGGTAGTGATCAAGAGAAATGGGAACTGTGGTCCAAATCAGATGGAGCAGGGAAACCTAGTTGTGTATTTCTGCTTTAGGGTTGCTGCTGGATCTCTGCTCTTTTGTTTATGTACTAACTCTACTGGGGTCAGTAGGTTTTTAACCCCAAATTTGTGTGCATTCTTCATATAGTTGTCTTTTCTGTTAATGGACCAGGACAAAGCAAATCCAAAACACCATTAGCACTTTTCATGTGTCTTGTAGATCCATTTTCATTGATTAAATGAATAAGTTAAGATGCCAGGGCCACGTGCCACTGTTAATACTCCCTTTTCCCAGTCCATTGACTACAGTTGCTAAAAACTGGCAAGAAGGTTTTAGTTATTTTGAGGTGAGACATTCAAGAAAGCTGTGCCAGATGTCCTCAGAGAGCCTTGATAGAATTTTCTTAACAACAACTCCTAAAATACATACTCATTACTAGGCTTGATCTAATTTGCACCAACATTTTGGCCACAGTGTCTACGTGGACCTACAAATGTTAAATGTAATTGCTAAACAATCAATGTTCTTCTACCCCAAAATGGTCGTTGAAATCATTTCAAGATCTTATGCTTGGAGAAGAAAGATGCAGAACACAAGAATAGGTACCTCATACTCCACAGATATTAGTAGTTCTCTTCCATTCCATTCTCCCCAGAAACTCCTGAGAATTCCCCCAGAAATATCCCATCTCTCCATTCATTGCAGGAATCTTAAATTCTGCCTGGCTACACATTTGCTTTACTAACTAGACTTGAACTGATTTCCTTCCTGGATACAAATTCATTTCATTTCAGGTTGTCTTAATCAGAAATGTATCTTTCAGTTCAGATATAATTGTTCAATCCTTTATAATTTTGTTTAAAGTAATGAAATTCTGTCATCTCCCAGAATCACCTTCAGCTTTGAATAGAGCAGTTATTGACTCTTTCTCTTCTTTTGTATTGTTCTTATAATTAGGACTAAGCTGTTGTGTTTTTGTTTTTTAAAAAAAATATGTGTATCATTTTTTTCTTATCATAATAGATCCACTCTTTTCAGTATATATTAGGAGAATTTTCAAACACCCGTGATTGAATAAGGGCAGTTAATCAGCATCTCTTGAGCATTTAGGAGCATTGAGCTCCTTTGTAGTTTTGTATTGTCATTTTAGTTATTGAATTTTAGAAGTTTAGGAGGGGTATGGTTCAGCTGAAATAGTAGATAGGAAACCCACACGAGATTTCTGCATTTAATTAATGCCCTCCTTAACACACATACCGTGTTATCCTCTTACACTCAGGAGCAATTCTGGCTGTAGTAAAGGGAATACAGAGTCTGCTGTCCCCTAACATCTGATATTTTTCCAAACAGTAGAGCTGGCTCTGAAGCCCACCACACATTCTTCAAAGCATTTGAGCACATTTTCCAGGAGGGAGAAAGAAATTGAGATCTTTTGAGATCTTCTCAGCTCTACCCTTTTCCTTAAAAGGGAGTTGGGTGGTGAAGCTATGGGTCATTTTTTTCTACAGTCTGGGCTACCTGGTTGCTGGAATGGTCTGTTGACCGGAGATGAACACAATGAGTTCTTTGTTGCCTACTGTACCACCGCACCTGTGTTTCCTTTTCTCTCTTTCTTGCCCTTCCCCTTGTGCTGCTGTTATGGTGTATTTCATGTCCCATTGCTTCTGATCCTGTCTCCTCTCAGCCAAGAAGACATCAGCATCCACCGATGATCGGGAAAATGCCAGCCTGCCAGCCTCTGAAGAGACTCCACAAGCCTTACTACTTTTGGGATCCATCGATTCCCCCCACAAACAGATGGAAAGGAACACAGCCCAGGTCCCTAACCCTCCTTCCTCACTTTCAGTTCCACCACCTAAGATTGTACCCAAAGTCTCAAAGATTGTACCAGGTGAGTCTCATTCACCCAAGGGGAGCTGTCTTTTATTAGAAGGAAGACTGATCTCCCCATGGAATCATGAAGATGGGAGAAGACCTCACAGATGACCCACAAAATGCTTAATCCCATAGTTTAAAAAGATTGCTAGTTTCCATGTAGTGTGTGAGGGTTACCTTATAATGAACACAGCTCACATGTGTGTGTGTGTGTGTGGTGGTGATGATGATGGTATCTTTTATCACAGCAATTCTACCTATAGTTCAATGATTTGTAGACTTAGAGCATGTTTAAGAACTGACATGTTTGAAAACTGGCATTTGGTTGATAACATACGGTGACATTTGACAGCTTAAGTCATTTCAGATTTGATGCTTCTCGAGGGCCAAACAGATGAGATATGAAAACTTCTAAATCCGAATTCAGATTTCATACTCAAAAATGCAGAGTTAGGATTTTCAGCCAAAGCTGCAGGAGATGGAAGAGGTGACATCTGAGTATGATGCCTATCTATGTATGTTGGTTCAACTGAACAAAGAACTGGTAGAAATCAATATTCTGCCAATAAATACTAGAGGCGCTTTTAGCTTGGTTTAATGTGACCTGTTCTTCTGGAAGACAGAGGCTGAAAAATCCCTACAGCAATGTTCATGTAGGCCAGAAGCAATTTAGATAGTCTAAGATATGCTTATGTATTGTCCCATTTCTGGAGAAATTTGGAGGACTTTTTTTTGATAAAGAGAAATGGATTGGGAAGTTGGAAGATCTCTGGGTAGCTTATATACTTTTATATTAGGATAAGTACATTGCAAAGAATTACTGGATTCTCTGATGCTGTGATAATTCTTGAGCCGTATATGTTCAAACTGTCTCTTGGGCTAACCAACAAAACTTTTCTCTGATGGAATTATTTTATTTCTTCTCTTAAGCTTATTCTAATTCTAATCTTTGACCTCCTGTTTTTGATAGCATCAAAACAAATGGAAACTTCAGGACTTCTCATTGTAAATTCAAATTATGAATTTAAGTGTTGTGCCGTATAACCATAACCATATGCATGTATAGCCTTGTCAAAGAGGACGATTCTCTTTATGTAGATAGATACAGATTTAGAACAGATGCTAAATAGAAATATAGTATTGTTCAGTTAAAACTACAATCGAGAAGAATATAGCTAGGCAATTAGATTTACTAATTTTAATTCTACTTTCCAAATGTTATTTGCTTTCCCTACTTAGAGTTATCTTTAAACTAGATGCTGTGCTGTCTGTCCAGCTAAGGGCATCTTCAAACAACTATTGCCACTGCAACTTCGTCCATCCACCATGCTGCTGATTGTCTTATTTTCTTTCTTTCCATTTTTCCCAACCTTATAGCCTTTCTCCAGCATTAAAACCTTTTCCAGAAAGCTGGGTCTTTGCATGATGTGTCTGAAGTAGGATAATTTGAGCCTGACCATTTGTGTCGCCAGTGAGAATTCTGGGTTGATTTTCTGATCATCCATTGTTTGGTTTTCTTGGCCATCCATGGTGCTCTCAGAAGTCTTCTCCGACACCAAAGTTCAAAGAACTCAGTACTCTTCCTATCCAGCTTTTCAAAGCCCCATTCATAAATTTCAGTAAAAAGTAAGAGTTATCTGAGAAGATATCATAGGGTTGCCCTCTGAAGTTCTCCATTTAAATTTCATGTCTCGCTGGTATCCAGAAGTAGCTGGCAGAAATCTACACTTTTTTATCTCCATGCACCTCAAACAGAAGCATACTGTTTTTTCCCCCAAACTTGTTTTAAGGGGTGAATTGAATTAAATATCCTGTGAAATTGATTATTTAATAAGCCCTAAGCCTGAAGCTCTATCGTACATGAAATGCTTTTGGTTTCACTCATATGGTAATACACAGCTGTCTATGTTTCTATCAGATCCCATATTTATGAGGACATCCATCACAGTCCATATTTCAGAAATGATATCAGGGTTATGCCAATATACCCTCCCAAAGTAAATAACAACAAGAATTCACATAGTGGGGCTGCACAGATCTCTGCTGGAGATTTACTTCAATGAAGCTTTGAGCAAAGCAACCCCTCAAATTTGCTTCATAAAGAGTCCTCATTTTGAAGAGAAAATGAAGAATTTCCCTCCCGTAGTGCTGCAGATGCTGGGAGAAGTACTTGCAAATTGGGAGGATGGTTTGACTACCTGCATTTACAAAGATTGGCTGAAGAGTTGTTCCTGTGGTCAGTTGGTCATCTATAGTTCCTTGGGGACAGAAGTATCTAGAGGAGAGTCAAAAAAGTCAAGAAGGCAGCTGCAATCATATGACTAAAGTCCCTTCCCCCATTTTGCATGTATCACATGTGTAATGTACAAAGAAAGGAGTAGGCCTTGGCATAATTGCTGTCATGTCCAAGAACCAAGACTGACATGTGGAGTGACTTCTGAGTAGTTCCTTTATTGTCATTCATCTACAAATAGACTAAAGCAATTCTCTGCAATAATTATAGACACACTCTGTGAATTGCTAGGAAGGATCTGACCTTGTTTTCTTCTTGCCCACCAGACATTCCAAGCTCTGGTGTCTCTTTGCCTTCTGGGAAATAACCCCTCCCTCC